TATAGGCATGTGCCAACACACCCGGCTTCCTTTTCCATCGTCCCCTTTCATTCCACTTTGCAATTTGGCACTTCTGTGCAGTGCCTTCCTGCTCTGAGCATAAGGCAATGATAATAGAGAAAAGGTCTATTGTCAGAAGTTAGCAGGGTCCTTTAAATAATCTTCAACAGTATAAAGTAATTATCTGCCCATCAGTGGGGAGAAAGTATAGCTTCATTCAAGGTACGTCTGTGTGCAGTATTTTCTGAGTATCTGGCAACTCCTGAGCCGCCTTTGGATTACCAAGATATTTGGGGCACCCTGTCTGGCTACTGTGAATGAGTTACTGGAAACATATCCTGCCTCATTTGTGCAGTTCTAAAACCTTTCTGCACATAGGTTTTGTACCTCCTTTAAAAGTGGGTTGGGCTGCCAGCATGGTGGCACATGCCTGTAATCTCAGCCCTAGGGAAGCTGAAGCGCAGGGAATTTACTGTGAGTTCAAGGCCAGCCTGGTTATATAGTGAGTTCAAGGCCAACCTGAACTACAAAGCAACATCCTGTGGAGAGAGAGGTGAGAAAAGAAAGGAAAAAAAGGCAAGAGAGAAGAAAGAAAGATGGATGGAGGCTGAGGCAGCAGAATCCCTTAAATCCACAGATTTTGAGATCAGTCTGGGCAACATAAAAACAAGTGATTTAAAGTTGTTCTAAAGTTGTTCTGTACCTTAGAACAGTGATGGCAAACCCTTGAGAGCATTTAAGAATACAGTCTGCGGGGCTGGGGATTTAGCTCAGCGGCATAAGCGCCTGCCTTGCAAGCAGGCAGTCGTGAGTTCGATCCCCGGTACCGATAAAAAGGAAAAAGAAAAAAAAAAAAGAAAGAATACAGTCTGCTAAAAAAAAAAAAAAAAAAAATACAGTCTGCTATAGCAGACATGCCGTAGGTTGCGTATATTAGAGATTGCTTAATATTCTTTGTCATGGTCAATTTAACACCTAAACTAGCTTTCTCTCCTTTTTGTTACAAAGGCTTTTTTAAATGATATTATAAAATTAGTTCTGGGGGCTGGGGATTTAGCTCAGCAGCATAAGCGCTTGCCTTGCAAGCAGGCAGTCGTGAGTTCGATCCCTGGTACCGATAAAAAGGAAAAAAGACCAAAAAAAATAAATAAATAAAATTAGTTCTGAAATGTAGAAAGTTGGTTCAGACCATATTGAGTAATGTTAAAAGCTGACATCTAAAGCCGGACGTGGTGGCTCACGCCTGTAATCCCAACACGGGAGGCAAAGGTGGGAGGATCGTTGCGAGTTTGAGACCAGCCTTTGGCTACAAAGTGAACTCAAGGCCAGCCTGAACTGCATAGCAAGACCCTGCCTCAAAAAAGACAAAAAAAAAAAAAAAGCTGACATCTGGAGCTAGAGATGTGGCTCTGTGTAGAGCACTTGCTTATTAGTGCTGAAAGCCCTGCGTTTCAACTCTGTCCTCCCCCCTAAAAAAGGATATTTGGTTATACATTCCTCTGCTGATTTCTATATAGCCTAGTTTATCCTGAAAGATAGCAGTTCCATGATTGTTTGAAGTACTTATGTACATATTTTTGTGAACATACATAAATTATGAATTCAAACAGCCATAGATAGATTCCACCCTCCCCCAACAAAAAGGGTTATAAAGACACACTAAAATTTACTAAGGAAGTTTTAAAAAGTCATACTATCAGAAGCTTCTGTGATCCATTCTTTTGGATGATGATCTACATTAGAAAGGTGCTTAATAGTCATTTATTTAACAATTGGATTAGGGTGCATCATAACACTCCTATCAATTTTAAAGTTGTAAAAAATTGTTGTATATATACTTGGGGGATTTCTAGAGAGACCTAAGGGCCAAGGATATAGCTCAGCAGCATAGGGTCTGCCTAACAAGCAGGAGGTCATGAGTTTGATTCCCAGTACCAAAAAAAAAAGAGAGAGAGACAATTTGTATCTAGAAAGACTCAAAAGCAACTGGTAACAGTGTTTGCCTATGGCTCAGGGCAATAAATGATGAACCTTTTAGAGCTTTAATTGATACAAGCAGCCCTCTGTGGCAGGAGTGCTATAGGTTCACCACCACTGCTCTAGGAAAATGGAGAATCTGAGTACTAGAGAAAGTATTCATTGTGTATTCTTTTGTACATTTGGATTTTTATCTTGTGCATGGAGTAAAATGAATATAAAAAATACAATTTGATTGCTTTCGTTAAAATCTAAAATACAGAATCACAGAAAGAATTAAGTTCATGAACCAAGGTACTAGGGTATATAACACTCCAAACTGAAGTCTGATCCAATGGACTAAATGAAGTTATTAAAACTAGTCTAAGGTAATACAGAAAAAGTTATGAGTTGCCAAATGAAAAGTAAGCTATTATAGTGATATAAAGTACGCAGATGACTGGATACTACATGGTATAAACCAAAATGAAAACAGCAGTGTTGGAACTGTAAACAAACACTGTTTTTTCAAAAAATCTTTTAGGAAACTTAATAGTAATTCTTTGACTGGCTTATTTTGCTAAACTGAAGGCAACTTTAGTACAAGGGTAGGTAGGTTTTGAGGCTTGAGGCCAGTCCAGAGTGAACTGGTCGGGCTCTTACAGCACAGGGTTGTGCCTGACAGAGGAGGAAGGGGGAGAGTAATAAGCATAGCAATGAGGTCATAGCTTTAGGCTCACCTAGTCGGGACGATGAGGTAACTAACCTACAGTGCCAGGCCAGCATCGCCTTTCATCCTCTGCACGCAGCCCTCTTTACTCCTAGCCTTAAGCAGGGATGTTAGGAACGGAGTCAGAATCTGTGACCCTGACCTTCGCCACAGTGTATGCTCTTCACAGAGTACTGTTCACACCTGCCTGGCTGTCAGAACTGGCTGCCTCTGCTTCCCTTGTGGCTGGACCCCTGCTGCTCTGCCTTGGATGGCAATGGGAATGATTCTTCTTTCTGTCTCTGTCTCTGTCTCTCTCTCTCTCTCTTTCTCTGTCTCTCTGTTCTCTGCTCACCCTAGAGCCTAGTGCAGAACAGAGCACCTCTTCAAAGGTGAAACCTAATGCTGCAGTAGTCACAGTGCCCTCCTAGTGTTCTTCCCAGTCCTGGGCCACTTGTTTCCTGCCCTCCCCCTCTCCCAGCCCTTGTTTGCTTTGTTCCATTGTTCCTAACACTTGGAGTCTATGTGAGCTCAGGGAGGAGTACAACTACCAGAGCTACTCATGCCACCCCTTAAGGTGCAAGCTAGGACAAAGTCCAACTTTGTTCAAAACCCTTTTTGGCTGCGATCTCTTCACCTATGACCATTCTCCCAATTGGAGGAGTGTGTATGTTTGACACAGTGTCTTACTATGTAGGTTGAACTCTATGTAGCCCAAACTGACCTCTGCCACTGTCCTCCTACCTCAGCCTCCCAAGTGCTGTCTAGGTTTTGGGGGTTTTTTGGGGAAGAGGGGGTCCCCCTCTTTCCACGGTGCCAGGAGACTAAACTTATTCCTAGAAATGCTTTTTTTTTTTCTTCAAAGTTTTATTGGGCTGGGGATATAGCTCAGTAGTCAGCACCTGCCTTGCAAGCATGAGATCCTGAGTTTGAATCCCTGTACCAAAAGAAAAAAAAAAGTTATGTTGGATACCTGCTAATATTAGCTGATTTTAATTGTCTACTGAAAGGATTTTGCCCCAGATAGGACACTGTACCGGGTGGAAGGCTGGGAGGCGGAACCAAGGGTCTCTATCTTGAAGTCACCTACCTGTGACACGAATACCAGTGGGCTACCTGTGCATCACTAATGCCCCTTAGGCACCACCCCAAACCTAAGCTACATGTACATTCCCACACCACTTGTCTGGCGGAGAGAATGCCAGACCCTAGAGGGTCAGGCACTCTCTCTCCACATTCTTAAAATAAAGGCCGCTTTTATTTCATACTTGTTATCTTTTTAGCCGCGCCGAAAATTCTATCAGATGGTTCCCTTCTGCGCTGAAAATTCTATCATCTACTTGTGTCTGAATTTACAGAGGTAGTCCAAACAGAAGAATAAAATCACTTTCTTGCAGATGACATCTATTGTAGCAGGACCACTTTGTAAATTGCCTGTTTGCCTCTTTGAAGCCAGTTCCTTTCTTGGGAACTCGGTGGAGCTTATGCACTCATAGCAAAGAAGCCAGTACCAAGATGTGGTGATCTTTTATCTATAGGGTTAGTCCTAAGGGGAGAGATAAAACCTCTGGTATTTAGTGCAGACTAGATTTTCATAATAGAATCTGTTCACTGTTCCCCAGTCTTTAATTCAGTTCAGGTTATCTAACCAGCAATGCCAGCCTGAAACAAAAGCTGATTTAATAGGTAGGAGTTTTTAAACAAAGCATGTATTTTTATAGCCTCTAACTTGGCATTGAAATGTAAAAGTCTCACAATTTCTTTTTAAACTAAATTTGGCTTTTTAAAATATTAACCATGGTTGGTCCGATGGCAGTTGGTTATCAGAACTTATTAACATTAGTGTCACTAAAGTTGGTATACCACCCCCCCCACTGCTAAATTTGACTGGCTTAAAAAAAAATATTAACCATTTCACATTTAATACATTTGTGGGGTGGTGTTGGGGGTCAGGCCCAGGGCCTTGCTTATGCCAAGCACACACATAACTGAGCTACATCCCCAGTCCCTAACACGTTCTTGATTAAGCCTAGACACCATTCCTGAGACTCAGGGGGTTTTTTTTGGTACTGGAGATCAAACTCACGATCTTGAGCTTGCCAGGCAGGCACTTATGTCCTTGAGCCAAATCCCTGGCCCCATGAAACTTAGTTTTGATTGCTCTTGATTTGCTAAGTCCTTCTGTGCTTCAATGTGTAAGCTTTTTGCTTTCACAGTGTGGAGATGACTGAGAATAGCAATACCTCCCCATGTCTCGTGCCCAGAAGCATGTGGGTTGAGTGCAGTGTGAATGGAGACCTCCTTCCCTAGCTCAGACTAATTGTGCCCTCTTTAGTTTCTCACAGTCAGATCACTCGCCTCTACAGCCGATTCACCAGCCTGGACAAAGGAGAAAATGGAACTCTCAGGTAAGCAGTTTTTTTCTTTATCTCTTTGTTCCCCTTACAAAAACTAGAAACTAGAAACTGACAATGCTTGAATGGCTCCCTTTATCCTAAAGGCAGATACTATTGTTTTGGTACTGAGGATTAAACTCAGGGTCTTGAGCATGGTAGGTAAGGTCTCTGCCACTGAGGTACATTTCCCCAGCCCTTTTTATTTTAAGATAGTCTCACTAAGTTGCTAGACTGGGCTTGAACTTGTGATCCTCCTGCCTTGGCACCTCCCAAGAGCTGGGACCATGGGTGTGCACCACTGTGCCCAGCTATTTTGTTTTTACATAGGTTTCACTGACCTGCTGAGTAGCTGAGATTAGAATTCTAGGTGTCCAGCACCTGGCTTTTCTTTTAATTATGGCAAAACAAATATAGCATAAACAAGTCAGTGGCATTAGGCACATTCACAGTGTTGTGCAGCCATCTCCACCACCCAGTTCCAGAACAGATTCATTATCCCAAATGGAACTCCTGGACCCACTGAAACATCACATACTGAGCCCATCACATGGCCCCACTTTTCCCCAAAGCTGTTTCTCTGTAGACATTTCACATAAATGCATCATGCAGTAAGTGTCCTTCTTGACAGTGGGTTCTTTGACTTAACAAGATATTTCAAGACTCATTCATGTTATGGTGTGTGTCATTACCCTACCCCTTGGTACTGGGGATGAGACCGAGGAAGTGCTCACAGACTTCACACTGGCTGAGGTTCCTGACAATACCATCTCAGCCTCAGGCCACATTGTAGTCAGATTGCCTTAACCCCTGTTCCAAACCGTTTCTGCTTCTAGCCTCTCCAACCTTACAGATGGTAGTTGGAAACCCTAAATTCTTCTGCAGTACAGAGCAGTGCTGCTCTCTCTAGCCTTTACTGCCAGACTCAGTACAAGACTCTGTCCTGACCTTTCTAGAGCTCCTTAGGTTGCTCAGATGAATACTAGTGGCTTCCAATCTTTTGTTACCAGAAACCTGTACCACTTTCTTAAAAACACAGGATTGTTAGAAAAAATACTTCTATCTATTTTATTTAGAGATAGGGTTTCTCAGTGTTGCCCAGCATAATCTCAAAACTCTTGGCTCAAGAAGTCATCCTGCCTGTACTTCCTGAGTACTTGGAACCACAGATGTGTACCACTGCACCCAGTTTTTCTAGTTTTTTGTAAGCTGTCTTCCCTAACAGTCCACCTCTGGGGGCTGCCTGAAGCCAGATTTGCAGAGGCTATAGTGTACACCTTGCATTCCTCATTTCTTTTTTTTTTTTTTTTTTTTTTAAGAGAAAAAAGAGAAAAACACAAAACAAACCAAAGCGGTGTAAGGGTACACGTAATAGAGAACTACAAAACAAAACAAAACAAAACAAAAAAAACAAAACAAACAAACAAAAAAAAAACATAACAGTAAGAAATCACCTGTTAGTATATTACATATTATCATCTTGAAAATAGTTCCTCAAATCACAGTATCAAAGAATACAAGGTGGACATTCAAACAGGTAGACTGCAAACAGCTGTGTTCAATGATCCAAAAACATTGATACAGTCAGCTATTTAACACCCCTAATCACACTTGCTGTTATATCCGTTAGAGCTCTTTTTCTTTTTCTTTTTTTTTTTTTTTCCCTCTCTTTTTTACAACAAAATTCACACACTTTAGATTTCATTACTCCTTAGTGCTTATTACTTTTTTGGGGGGGGAGGGGGGAAGAATACAGTCAAATATGGCAAAACAAAGCTGTCAGTCAATACCAAGGATAGACATAGCACATGGTGTAGAACAGAGTACAAGTTTATCAACAATGGTTATCAACGTTGTCCCTTGTTTCCTTAAAAAGAATTGTCTATCTCATTAGATATTATAAAGTTGGACAAAACAGTAGAGAACAAGACCAATAAAACTTAGGCATTGTAAACATTACAGGACTTCCAAAAAAGACAATAGTCAAACCAGAATGGGTATCTTAGTGAATCTTATTGTCTTCAAAGTAGTTGCCTATGTCTTCAAACTTGATACTACCATATAGAATGGAACAGAGTCTAATCAGTCAAAACAAGATTGTGGGAGTACTACAGGACTTCAAAACAAGTTAATAGGAAATCAAAAAGAGTTACTATTTATATATCCTAATTTTTTGAATTTTTTCTTTAATTAAGACAAACATAAGAAATGACTAAATAATTTTTTTTAAAACAATAAGGGGGAGATTGAGATAAAACAGGACATAACAATATAACAATAGAGGTCCCAGCATGACTGTTTCAACAACCTAGTACTTCACCACCATATAACCTGACTTAATAGTAGTTACCATAGTGTCTTTTTCCTTGAAATATTTGAATAAAACTTCATATACTCTAGCTTCAAATATTTTCAAATCAAGAAGCCCAGAATAAAGCCTTTCTAATTAATGAGTGAAAACTTTATAAGGCTCCAAGGCCACCTAATGGGGAATCATGATTACCACATATTTTTATATATTTGATTCATTACTTACATTAGGGAAACTATTCGGTATTCACACATGCAAGATTGATTTATTTCACTTATGAGTATGGTCTCAAGCTGCGCCCATTTATTGATAAATATCTCAATGTGATCCTTCTTTATAGCTGAATAATACTCCATTGTATAGAAATACCACAACTTTTTTATCCATTCCTCAGTTGATGGACACTTGGGTTGTTTCCAAGATCTGGCGATTACAAATTGTGCTGCTATAAACATAGGTGCACATATATCACTGTGGTATGATGCTTTCAGTTCTTCTGGGAATATGCCTAGAAGTGGAATAGCTGGAATAAATGGGATTTCCAGTCCCAACTTTTTGAGAAATCTCCAGACAGATCTCCACAAAGGCTGTACCAGTCTACACTCCCACCAGCAGTGCAGGAGAGTTCCTTTTTCCCCACAGCCTCTCCAGCATTTGTTGTCGGTTTTCTTGATCCTGGCCATTCTTTCAGGAGTGAGATGGTATCTCAGTGTGGTTTTAATTTGCATTTCTCTAATGACCAATGATGATGAGCATTTTTTCATGTATTTATTTGCCATTTGCATTTCTTCATCTGAGAATTGCGTATTCATCTCAGATGCCCATTTTTGGATTGGATCTTTGAATTTTGGAGGTCTGAGTTTCTTTAATTCTTTATATGTTTTAGACAAGAGGCCCTTGTCTGAGAGAGAGTTCACTAAAATCTTTTCCCAGTTTGTGGGTTTTCTTTTCACTATGCTGGAGATTTGCATTCCTCATTTCTTTATAGTGATTATCCCCAGTGAGAACATAAAGGAGGATCTGCAGAAGGCCTTAGGTGTAAGGCCTCATAGTGCTCTCAGAGAATCATTGTAATGTATGTTCTATAAAGCAATAAGAGAGATTTAAAATGTTGAAGGAGAGACCAGCAGCAAAATACAGCTTCTCCTGAATTCGGAATTGACTCTTGGAAAACAACAACATAGTGAAATGAGAAAGAAATAAATCTCTACAATGGAATATTACTCAGATAAAAAAGAGAAAAAAGAAATAAATCTCTGGGAATCAAGAGAGGCAACAGGAGGCAGGTACACACCTGTAATTCCAGCACTCAGGAGATTAAGCCAGGAAGATTGCCATGAATTCAGGAACATTCTGGGCTACATACTGAGCTTAGGACTAGCCTAAGCTGTAGAGCCAGAGCTGTCTCAAAAGGAAAGGGAAGGGCAAAACCAAGCCCATAGGAAAACTAGAAACTATGGAAAAATTGGGGAAACTGAACAGAATGTAGAGAAGAGAATGAAGCAGTAGGAACACTGACCCTGGCTCTGGGGAGGAGGACATGTCTGTTAACACATGACTATCAAAGAATAATGGTTCATCAACAAAACCCATCTTCCATTTTCTCCTTTTAATTAGGCCCAGTGAGACTTCTGATCTCTGGCTAGGCACCCCTAGCCTGAAGCAAGTTATAAGAAGATGGACCTTTAGCCCCCTGTACGCCTTAAGAATAAAGATTAAAGTCTGGGGAAGGGGAATGAGATAAGACAAAAAGAAATAAACATAGGTAGAAAGGAGACAAAGACAATTTTATATATGTATATATATGTATATTTTTTAAATTGTACTCTTAAGAAGACCGCAACAGACTTACTCAAGCATATCCATGTCAGCATTGTGTGGTTAAATTATGCTTCCTTCCTTCCAGACCTGTTACACCCAGAATCCTTAAGGCTACTCTAAGTCCATAAGTTAGCTAGTTGAGGAAGTAAAGAGCAAAAACCTGATCTTAAAGAAACGTGTTGAGAATTCAAAGAATGCTTGAGTTCTGATATTGAGTTCCTCAGGATAGCCTACCCTGTGTCCTGCACAGTGTACTTTTGTCATATTTCTCTTTTACTTGGCCCAAATGCTCTGCAGAGCCAATTTCTTTCTCATTCTTCGCTTTTACATTTTCACATTTTGCTACTGCTTTTAAAAATAAAAAACAAAAACAAAGAATGCTTAAATGACCCATCTTTTTTTTTTTTAACCTTTTTTTTTTTTTTTTTTTTTTTGGCTTTTTTTCATTTTTATCGGTACCAGGGATCGAACTCACAACTGTCTGTTTGCAAGGCAGGTACTTATGCCACTGAGCTAAATCCCCAGCCCCAAATGACCCATCTTAAAAACAAAAAAGGGCCTGTACCTGTAAAATGGGCCATTATTCTTCTGAGAGGTGGGCCATCTCTCCCACAGGTTTCTATCCCCTCAAGAGAACTTTTAAGTGTTCCTGGGTCCAGAACAAAATACACTCATCTTGAGGACCTACACTAATTCTTTGAGTGTGTACTTTTAAAGTTCTATCTAACAAATCCCTCAATTTCTCTTGAAAAAAGAGAGCAATGTATTTCTTGGTCTATTAATAGACATATTTAAAATGAAAGAAAGGGGCCAGGGATTTAGTTCAGTGTACGCATACAGTGTACTTTATTTAGATGCCATTGTCGTTGGTTTTGGTATCTCT